AGAGAAGAGAGAGAGAGAAGAGAGAGAGAGAGAGAGAGAGAGAGAGAGAGAGAGAGGAGAGAGAGAGAGAGAGAGAGAGAGAGAGAGAGAGAGAGAGAGAGAGAGAGAGAGAGATTTCTCTCCCTCTCTCTCTCCCTGCTCCAGCGTCTCCTTTTACTCCCATTTAACCCGCGCCTTCGCTTCCCTCCCTCAGAATGACCCTCGTTACGCCCACCTTGACCTCGAGCACGGGAGTCACCACGAAGCCGCAGTAGCTGCCCATCGGCCAAGGGTCGTCCCGACGGTGTACGCGACGTTGGATACACGACACGCCCATTCGCGAGCCCATGTGACCTTTGACCTTAGACAGGCTCACAGCCAAGCGAGTCTCGACATGGCGCGGTCCCACGAGCTTCCGTCTTGCTCTCAGCGAGGACGCGCCCTTAGTCGTGACCTGACTCCTCATACACATGAGTCCACCACGCATGACCTAAGCTACGGCCACCAGAGGTCACCACAACCTCACGACCCAGGCCGACCTCTTCTGGATGATGACGCCACGCCTGACACGCCCTTGGTCGGCAAGAGAGAAAGTTCAGTATGATACGGGGAAGCCGAATAGTAAGCGAGGTCAAACGTCGTCGGATTTTGACTTCACCTCGACTGACTCTCCCACCGACCGGAAAATGCCTCCGTGAGTTTGACCTTCGTGGAACGCTTTCATACACGATGGAAACATACATTTAAAAAGTAAATAAGTAGATAAAAAGGGAACTCTTATGAGCCACAGAAGAGCCAGAGACTCTTAAAAGGGGGAAAAATATTTTATAAACTCATACCTTCGAGAGCGCTGAACCTGTGGTTTTTACCCCAACAGGAGATGAAAGAACTCTGCTGCTATATTGCCACAGTTCATTCGGAAACGAAAGTTGTGCGCCAAGTGCCAGCCGACATTGGACAGGAAAAAGACTTGCAGCTTATAATAATGAACTCCTCTTGTAAAAAAAAAAATAATAAATCTGAAAAAAAAGGAATGTGACACTACGCGAAGACAGTCGAGCAGAATTTGGTGTCGCTTATATTCGTTCTGTGATTTCGGTTCGATTACAGAAAATCAAATAGTTTTGTCTTGTGTTTGTTTTCCTTTCTTTCCCCTGGAATAAGTATAAGGAACGGGGAAAAGTGCATGTTGGTTAGTATGGATTGTATTGCGGTTTATCTATTATTGAATACACATGTTGCATTATTCAGTGTGTAATATTGCAGGAATTTTGTATTAAGGCGTGCAGTACTCTCTCATTTTCTATGAGAAAAAATGAAGAAATATATTGTCAGTGCGTGGAGAACAAATAGAAACACATAATGATATTCATATCTACACACACATATACATACACATGCCATCGCGTGCATTCTCACAGATCCAACATATGAGAGATTGGAATTTATCAATGACCATTTCCCGCTACTGGTTCACTTTTTAGCGCAGGAGAAGTGACACGGTTTTACAATAATCGAATCAGGTTCTGCGGAGATGAGGTGAAATGATTAAGGCGCGAATGATATAAATAATATACACTGGAAATGATCTGCCTATTGTTCGAGTTACATATTTTGTTTAACAAACACAAATATTTCTATATACTTTAATTACGTTTCGTTCTTTTATGGTAAAGGATGTGAATAATTAACAATGCATCTTTAATTAATCTGATTTATTCGTAAAAGTCTTATTAAACATCGCATGACATCCCTCATACAGTGTTCTTATAATTATTGTAAAAAATAACAATTCCCGGAGGAAAGAACTCCGCGTTATTTAAACCGTTATTTATCCTCGGAAATGCAGAAATTTAATCCAAAGCGACAATCAATCATCAATCTTAATTACAAAGAAAGATATAAAAAAAAAACGAATATATTAAAATCGTTCGGATATGTGCAATATATTTCGTAACAACTAAGTATTTTCGATATTAATGCCACGGTTAGTGGTGAAAGATAAAATTAGAATGTGTGATATTCGACCAAAATCTGACGTAATCATATGTTAAGGAAAAGTACTGTAAATCTCAGGAACATTAGGAGATTGAAATTAATATTTTGTTTTATTTTTATTATTTTTTAAGAATATTGATTTTCGGCACATTTCTATTCTGCACAACAGTCCCTTGAAGAATGTATAGAGTGCTGCATGAATTGTAAATTTTTATTATTATTGGTATTATAACTATTATTATTATTATCATCATCATCATCATCGTCATTATTATTAGTAGTAGTAGTACTACTACTACAACTACTGTTGCTGCTGCTACTGCTGCTACTACTACCACTTCTACTACTACTACTACTACTACGACTAAAAACTACTACTTCTACTACTACTACTACTACGACTACTACTACTACTACTGACTGCTACTTCTACTACTACTACTAATACCACCACCACCACCATCACCACTACCACCACCACATCCACTACTACCACTAGCCACTGTTTACTACTATTCTGTAC